GCTGCTGACACAAACCAGGAAAAAGACCTTTGAGCGGATCGATAGACAGCTAGGCTCAGGCAGTTAGACAGAGAAACTACTTTTACACTGAATTAAAAAGAAAAACAAAGTTATCATGGCATCTCTGTTTAAAAAGAAGACAGTTGACGGTAAGTCACTTTGTTAATTGTTTTATTATAGTTTTTCATGGTTAGATCCCTGATTATAATTTACACCTGTCTGCCTGCTGCTTCTTTTGAAACTTTATCAGCATGTTTCACCAGTTTTGCTGTTTTTACGTACGGAATTCACAGTCATAAAGGCGGAATATTTGCTACATGTGTGTTTTTGTTATTAATAATGACTGTGAATAACCAGTAGCCTAGGCTACTTTCATTATAATAACAGCTGTTTCATAAAAAACATTATGACAGTTGTACTCATGTGTCTGATCCATGCGTTATTAATTATATTAACATTATTTACATAAAAGTTTGTTTTGTTTCTTTTACATAAATGATTTTCCACTGTACCAAAAGTGAAAAGTAACAAAGCCACTCATCAAGATTAGTCAGTGTCATGTTGGTTACCTCATTTACAGGTCCTTTTTAGATTCTTTTACATTGATTTTACACTATAGATGTTTATTATATTGAGAGCTCAACATGCAAAGCAAACATTCCCTCGATGGACAGCATTGTGAAGATCAAATTGCTTTCTGAATATTTGGCATAGTTAGCTGGTTAGATTAACAGGTTATCAACTGATCATTGAATCATTCAAACACTTCCATTTAAACCTGTCTCCAGTGATTAACAATAGAAACACTCATTCATAACTCATTCATACAGTTCATACTATATTTTAAAGACCATACTTATCTTTTTTTTTTAGATTCTGTATTGTCACTATCCTAATTTGAGAGAATGTTTTAAAGTTCTTATTTATTTATTTGCTTTTATAAAAATAGCTACTGCCTAGTGCCTATACAGACTTATACACATGGTATAGTCTATAATAAATGAATATAAAGCAGAAGAGTTGGAGGTAAACTGATATCAAATAATTTGAATCAATCATAGTCTTTACTCACGTTCTGATGCTTTTGTCATGGTCAAGTAGAATTCCCATCATTCCCGAGCCTTTGTCCTCTTGACCTTCGTGCCAAGGTGAGCCAAGCGTCATCGTGCCAAAGTATCCTCTCAGATGGCAGAGTTGGTTTAGCTCAGCGAGTTTTGTGGACGATAACCCTCCCTCAATACTACGTTTTCGGTGCGTCATCTTTTGCGTAGACTTGTACGTGTACACAAACTCTCTCATCAAGGTTTAGAGATGGGCAAGTAACAAAATTATTATGATAATGATGTAAAAAAAAAAATTTACAAACTCTTTGTGACTTTTTTTGTACTTTTCTTACTTTTGTACAATACTAATGAAGTTTTTGTTTCACTTTATTATTGACATATATGTAGAATTTTATTTTAAAAAATGTACTTTCATACATTTAATACATATTTCATACTTTTCATAATTTCTTAATATTCAAACAACTTCATTAGATTTGTCTTTTTACTTATATTCTTATATATATATATATTTTTTCTTTTCCTTTTATGATTTGCTTTCTAATAACTTTTTTATTAATTTGCATGGTTTTTCCTTTTTCCTATCTTATTTTTTAAACATTTTTTATTAAACTTTTTGCCCTATAATTTAATTCATGAACTTAATAAATGTTCTTGTATTTTCTTTAAACCGTTGTCCTCCTACTACACCCTCTGTTGCTTCTAATATTGACAGTTTAACCTCACGGGATGTTATGATATGATTGGCATTCACGAGGGCACATGTTGGGCTGATTGCTGTGTAGGAGAGCGTATCTTCCCTATAGGCATTGTGGCTGCACTCTGCCATCCTTAGAGGTGGAGTATGAAGAGGAACCTTATGTTCAGCGCATGTGTTTTAGCTTGTCCCTCAAATGCATGAAAACAGGAAGAGCATGATCTTGCTGGCTTTGCTCCCAAACAATGTTTTTTGGGCTCCCCGGACTCATGAAAGCACATTTCATTAACTGCAATATTCAGATCCAAAATAGACTGTGAATCAAGCCCATTTAAGTGCTCTTGTGGTTAAGGTGCCTAAATAGATTTTCTTCCTTAACGAGAGCATATCAGTTTTTCTTGACCGCAAATACTAGCTATATTGTTCAACAAAAGCTATATTCTAAAACAAATTTAGCGTAAGCAGTGATAATTATTGTAAGCATGTTGTGGCTGCACTCTGCCATCCTTAGAGGTGGAGTATGAAGAGGAACCTTATGTTCAGCGCATGTGTTTTAGCTTGTCCCTCAAATGCATGAAAACAGGAAGAGCATGATCTTGCTGGCTTTGCTCCCAAACAATGTTTTTTGGGCTCCCGGACTCATGAAAGCACATTTCATTAACTGCAATATTCAGATCCAAAATAGACTGTGAATCAAGCCCATTTAAGTGCTCTTGTGGTTAAGGTGCCTAAATAGATTTTCTTCCTTAACGAGAGCATATCAGTTTTTCTTGACCACAAATACTAGCTATATTGTTCAACAAAAGCTATATTCTAAAACAAATTTAGCGTAAGCAGTGATAATTATTGTAAGCATGATGTGGATGGACCATTATGTTATGCTTTCCTATTTATTTAATTTTATTTTATTTGTCATCAAGTTTAAAACAATATCACACAAAACACAGTTGTGAAATGTTGTACATGCAAACCACTCATATTTTCTTTAGATGTTAGTTATTACTACAGTGCGAACAGTAATAATGAAAAATATTATTACAATTTAAAATAACTGTTTTATTCATGTGATGCAAAGCTGAATTTTCAGCATCATTACTCCATTCTTCAGTGGCACATGATCCTTCAAAATCATTCTAATATGCTGGTTTGATGGCCAAGACACATTTATTATAGCACCCTACGTAAATATGATCAAAGAAGGCTGTGAAACTTAATCTGCATTGTTAATCCTTTTGATCTTTTATTTAAAAAATTCACAAAAATCTAACATTTTGAGATGTTCTCCTATAATGCCTGTTAAGGTTAGAGAACACCTGACGAGATCAGAGACCATTCCTTCATCCAGAATCTCATTTTTTATAGGGTTCAGGTCAGAGGACTGGAATGGCCATAGCAGAAACTTGGTTTTGTGCCCAGTGACCCATTTTTGTGGTGTTTTTGAGGTTTGTGTTTGGATTATTGTCCGGTTGGAAGATCCAAACATGGCCCATAAGATTTCAAACAGAATCAGTCACTTATTGTTTTTTTATCTGTTGGTATTTGATAGAATCCATGATGCCATGTGTCTAAACGAGATGTCCAGGACCTCCAGCAGAAATATAGGCCCACAACATTAAAAATACAGCAGTATATTTCATTGTACACATGGGGTACTGTTTATCCCTGTGTTCACCAAACCCATCTTGAGTGTTTGCTGCTAAAATCTCATTTTTTTGTTTCATCTGACCATAGAAGCCAGTCCCATTTGAAGTTCCAGTCATGTCTGATGACTGAATATGCTGGAGTTTGTTTTTGGATGAGCTAGGAGAATTTTTCTTGAAACCCTCCCAAACAACATGTGGTGATGTAGGTGCTGTTTGAAAAATCTTTTTTAAGGTTTTCTGACTCTGAGACTCAGCTATTTTCTGCAATTCTCCAGCTGTGGTCCTTGGAGAGTCTTTAGCCACTCAAACTCTCCTCCTCACCGTGCATTAGTACGATATAGACACACGTCCTCTTCCAGGCAGATTTGTAACAATTTCTGTTGATTGGAAATTCTTAATATTGCCCTGATGGTGGAAATGGGAATTTTCACTGCTCTAGCTCTTTTCTTAAAGCCACTTCACTAATTTGTGAAGCTCAATTATCTTTTGCTGCACATCAGAAATATATTCTTTGTTTTTTTTCTGATTGTGATGGATGATTAAGGGAATTTGGGCTTTGTTTTCCCTCCTATTTATATTTCTGTGAAACAGGAAGCCATGGCTGGATAATTTCATGTTCATAATCACCCTGGAGTGCTCAAAATTGTGAATATGAATGGGAATATACTTCAGAGATACTTTACTCATAAGAATTTCTAGGGGTGCCAATAATTGTGTCCAAC